TTGTTTTTGTACTTATTTAAGACTTATAAATGATTTATTTAGGTTGTTGATGCTTGTATCCATCGCGATTTCAACTGTTTAGTTGTGTAGGTTTTGTGGTTTGTGTTCTGAATGTCGTAACTTTTTCATACGATATAATATTTTAACGATCTTTATATCCATATATCCATTTTTTTAGTTTACTACAACTTTCGTTAAGATTACTCCCTTTTAAAATGTAATATTTTTTTACTTACGATTTTATAATTAAAAAAACATTCATACAAGCTTTCATAAAAAATATATGGATATAAAGATCGTAAGTAAAAATATATTTTCTTTTAACGGGAGTAATCTAAACGAATGTTGCATTAAACTAAAATAAGAACACATAGATATAAAGATCATTAAAATATGAGATCGTATGAAGAAATTATGACGTTCAGAATACATGACTTAAGCAAGCAAGTAGTCAACATCGTGATGAACATAATCATCAAAAGCCCCAAACATCTCATTAATAATTGTCCCACGTAAGATGTTGTAAGAAAAACCTAATAAAATCATTTATAAATATTGAGTGACTGAATGAGTACAAAACAAAAATGATTTATTTTGTAACAAAAAAATATTAAGGACTAAATGTATACAGAAATATTAAGGTCTAAATGTGTATGAAGTCAGAAATATATTACCCGATTAAGTCATTTTTACCGGCTAACCTGGAGTAGTCGATCATAAGGACTGAATGTTTATAGTTTAACAAGTTGAAGGGTAAATAAAGACAAGAAAAACCCAATAATCAAATATGGACAAATAAAAATTATATATCATTTTAAGTCATTATACATCAAAAGAATGGTAGAATAGTGTAATGGGAGGGGTATTTTGTGTAGTTCTATGAACATTATTTATTCTCAACTCTAGAAACATAGTTGTGCACATTATTCTCATTGTTTCTTCTTTTTTTATGTATCACATGCATTATATTATAATTATAAATTGTATTAAAAAATGTGATTAGGAGAGATGAAAAATGAAATTTAAAAATATATATATATATATATATATATATATATATATATATATATATATATATATATATATATATATATATATATATATATATATATTGATGTTGCCTCTATGTAACATATGGCCGGTGCGATGAAAATTATGGACTCGCTCCGCCTTAACTATATGGATATCTACTAAAAGACTAGAAACATTGGTAGAGGAGAATAATAAAATCCTACCATTATATTGATCTAAAAAGATACAAACATTGGCCATGGCTAAGTGTTGGTTTTTTTTTTTTTTTTTTTTTTTTTCTTTTTACACACAAAAATTAAGACATTATAAAGATAAACGAGACCAAAAAGTTACAAAATGAAAAATATTAATATAACGATCTAATAAGTATGATTTTTTTTTTCCTTTTTTTTTTCTTTTTTTTTTTTATGTTGTTAGAGCATTTTTAGCCCACCTCAAATTCAAATGTTAATTCTATCCAACCATATTTCTTATCTTAGTTCTCAAAAAATAAAGTCGATGTTTCAGTTTATTTTTGTAAATTAATTATAATTTAAATATAAGAATTAATATTTTTAATATCTTGTTATATATTAAATTATATTAACTAATTATAAGTGTAAAATTTGGTATTTATGTTTCCAATTCAAACAAAAAATTAAATACATATTGAACATGCAAATTCATAAAATTCATTATATACAAATAGCTTATTTTATTATTATTTATGATAATATAATTTATAATTTTATTATAATAAAAAAAAAGATAGAATATATTTTTTTAAAACTAATTAATAGAAGGGCATGTTTGACAAATATTTAAGTTATACAATGAAATATACAAATAATATATTTTTTAGGTAAAAAGTAAGTATGGTTAAAAATAAAATGCTATTTATCCTTTATTTATTTATTGTTTTGATAAAAGATAAGAGTGGGTTTGGAGATGGATCATCCATGATTTAACCAATGTTTTAAAAACCGATTTTTTATTTGAACCAATATGATGATTGGTTCATGGTTCAACCGGTTTAACCAGTTCGACCGTCGGGTGAACCGGTTTCTCTATTTTTCATGTCTTTTTCTATTTTCAGACACGTAGATACTTATATAAATTATTAATTTGATGTTTACAAGTTTAAACATTTAAAATACACATAAAAATAATTTGTAAATGAATCATTAAAATAACTATAACCATAAGTTTTAGTGTTTACATAAATTCATATACGTCAAAAAGAAAATAAAATATAATACCAAAACGAAATATAGTTTTAGATGAATACAACCACATCAAAAAACTTTATAATGTTAATCATATGTTTTTATTTAGAGAAAACTTAATAGATTTGGGAAAAAATCACCAAAGTTTATTACGTAAATAGTTCTTTTTCATGTGTTTTTATTTTGTTTAACCGCTTCAACCAGGTTTTTTTAAAAACCGGCCGGTTCAATTCGGTTCAGAAATCAATATAAAATCGGTGATAATTGAATCGCTCCCTCCCCCGGTTCCTGGTCCAACCGATTCGACCGGCCGGTTCAAACCGGTTTTTAAAACATTGGATTTAACAAAATGTTTATATTATTGAATCATTAAAAAGTTGAAGACAAACATGAATTCGTAGTTTAAATCTTTCTATTTTTTGATATGAAATTTCAACAATGAACCAGAACTGATATATCTTGATATTCCTGGAAAAAAAAAGCTTTACAATATTTTTAAAAAATTTAAATTATATAAAGATATTTTTTTGTGTATTTGCATTTTGTAACCATCAACTATTTACACCAAAAGTTAAAAACTTAAAATCTCCACAAATTTTAATTTACGACATTACATAACGATATTAAATATTAAATTATAAGCATATAATATCCATCTTAATGGAACATTCATTTCTAATAAACTGTCTTTAATCCAGAAATTACCAACGGCGAATACGAAATAGCCAAAACTACCTCTTACAAAATTAATGGTTTCTGAAAAACATTTCTTAATTATTAGCTATTTAAAATAAAATTCAAAAACCTTAAAAAGAAATTATTTATTTTTGTCTTTTTTTTATACGTCTATTGTAAATTTACAATTACAATAAGATGTCCGCGTTTGGATTGATGAAAGACAACGAAGGAGATGTCACACGCGTGTGTACGATGTGGCTTCGTACGCACCAGACAGCCTCAGCGTCAAAGTGTCCTTCCGCCAATCATAATTAGACAGCGTTTTTCCTTATACTACTCTGGTTTTCCAATACCACCTTACCATAAATGCGTTTTCTTAAAGATTCTTGTTTCGCTCTAGATGTTTTAAAAATAATATATAACTATTATTATGCTTCCAATAACCGTAAACAATTAATTTTAAGACATTTAGATAAATACAAATTTTCTTTAGAAATATACAATTATATTTTACTATAAGTAATAAAAGATATACTGGAAATAGACGATACATATTTATATAGTAGTAGTAGTGTTTATTTCTTTCTATATTTATGTTACTGGGTTTTATTGTTTTTTCTTTTTTATCACTTTATATAATGATATTTTACATATTAATTTTATTCAACTAACAAAAATTATGCAAATCATATTTAAAACCGTAATAGAGTTATTGGTCCTAAAATAAAATGCGGTGTGATATTTATAAAAACAATTATTTTGTACATAAACTGAAAAAGAATAAATACGCCATAATCTTTATTTAAAATAGGGTAGATACTATTAATGCAAAGTAGTTCCTATGAAATTTATAAAATTAAAATGGTTATATATTTGATATTTTAAATGTTTTTATTATCTTCGTATACTAATAAACGAATAGTTTTTTCTTTTATCATGTGTCACCCTATTAAACATTTTAATTAGGGTTGTAAACGAATTAAACGTTCAACGAACTGTTCATGAACCGTTCGGCGGGAAGTTCGTTAATGTTTGTTTATTTAATAATGAACGAACATGAACAAAAATTCTTGTTCGTTTAGTTAAACGAACAAGATCTCGTTCATTTAGTTAAACAAACGAACATGAACAATGATCTCGTTCGTTCAACTATGTTCGTGAACGTTCGTTTATATTGTTAATTTATGTTTTTTTTTATGTTCATTTATATAAGTTCATTTTATCTTCGTATATGTTTAATTTTGTTTGATTATATTACTATATTATATGTTAATTTATATTCATATATGTTTGTTTATGTTCGTTTAACATGTTCACAAACATAAACGAATGAATATGAACGATGTAATTTGTTAAACGAACAAATATGAACAAGAAAACTCGTTCGTTTAACCGTTCGTGTTCATTTGGTTCGTTTACAGCCATACTCCTAATTAATGTTATGCTACTTGTTAACCTATTTATTCTCCATTTCAAATTTTAAAATTTCTTTTTTTAATTATATTAAGTTAAATAACATTAGAATAAAAAATAAACAAAATTAATACAACGTAAAGTGATATAATTTCATGTATTTATTTGAATCAATAATTATAATTTTACATATAACTAAAAAAATATCTTTTAATTAATAATTTATTTAAAATAATTAATTAATAATCTAATTAATATTGTGATCGCGATTCTCATATGTTATAAACTTAAACTTAAGTGTTATTTGAATAAATGATAGTTAAAATATATTTGAAAAAAATGAATGGAAAAATATTTAAATTCTAATCTATAAAGATAAATTCTTATTTTTCATGAATATCTTATCAAATCAAACTGTAACTCTATAGCCAAGTCAAGTAAATAACCAAAAAAAAAAAAATGTTAGTCAATACTTATGTAATTGTATTGGTAGTGTATCTACTTTTTCTTAAACAATCAGTTACTATTTACGTACCATTTAAAAATTGATAATTTTGGTAAAAAAAAAAAAAAAAAAAAGATGTTGGGGCGGGTTATAAGTAGGTGATAAGAATTTTCCAAACTTGGTAAATCCAGATATTCTTCCACCACAGCAGCGCAACAACACACCTGATGGTGGCGTTTGTTGGTTAGTTACAACTTATTACATATATATATGTGTATTGCATTTCGTGTGGTTGTGGTTGTGGTGTGGGTGAATTGAAGAAGATTCTGAATATCTGTAGATCGATCAATCATCAATGGGGAGGGGAAGAGTGACGTTGAAGCGGATCGAAAACAAAATCAATCGGCAGGTCACTTTCTCCAAAAGAAGGTCTGGATTGTTGAAGAAAGCTCATGAGATCTCAGTGCTTTGTGAAGCGGATGTCGCTCTCATCGTCTTCTCCACTAAAGGAAAGCTCTGCGAGTACGCTTCCGATGCTTCGTAAGACTTCTCTCTAATCTATCTATCTCAGCTTCCCTAACTTTATTGCTTCCAAAACGATTGATTTCTTCGACTTTGATTCCTGTTAATTTGTGTTATTTTGTTTAGAAAGTAAGTAGGATAAGCTGAGATGAAGATTTAAATCGTTAATATCAACTTCATCTCATAATCGATCTTCATCATCATCAAGTTTATACTAATATGTATATGTTTGGGTTTATTTCAATCATCGACAGTAACTCCGGATTAGTTGGACCAATTTTATCGATTGGTTAGTTTGACTAGTCATGTTTTCGAGTAGCAAGCTTAATAATTAACAGGCCTGTTTTAACCACAAATACATGCAAAAGAAACTATGATCGATCACAGCTGGTTCTTCGTGCTGGAGTTTTAGCTAGGGTTTACGATAGTATGTACAGAAAAGAAACCAATTGGATAACTAAATTGGTCAATTAGGTTGAGTGATTTCAGGTATTTTCATTAGTCGTTATCTTCCTTTTTTTTTTTTTTTGTTTTTTCTTTCTTAAAAAATCTATATTCAGAACATGGTACTACTTCTATTAAAAGTTCTGCATCATTTTCAAGGTTTAAAAGAGTCGTAAAGGCTTTCTGTTTCTGTTGATGTAATATTTCCTAAACCAAAATAGTAATTCAGGTCTATTTCTAAGCTAATTAAAGAAGATACATAATTTGACAATTCTAAATTAATTCTTTATATATAAATTTGTATTTCACCCAAATCAGGTCTAATTTAATTAGTCTTTAATTAACCTGATTGTCATAGCCTTTTGATTTCACTCAGATATCTAATGTAGTATTTAAACCTAATGGTTCCAACTTAGTGTAATTATAATTAGAGTATAATATATAATTGTTGTAATTTTAGTCTTTGAAATCTAATAATATTTTTGTTTTTCACTTGTCACATAAGATCACAAATATGGTCATACAGTGAAGCAACTTCTTGACTTTCTCATTTATAATCATAGAAAATCAGTTAACCAGCTTTTGTGCGTTATAGAACATAGGTACTAGTGCATACCTTTTTGCTTTTATCATTATCTTTTTAGGCACATTAATTTTAATCTTGAAAAAATTGGGTGCTTGGAGATTACTGTGCGTTAATTTGATGCTAATCCCTATATATAATTATATATTTTGTCGTTTAATATTATAATCTACATTCTGATTCCAAACTTTATTTCAATTTTCACCCCACCTCTTATTAACCAAACACATAGTCAAATCAGATTCAAATTCTAATTCTTTTGAAACATAAAAAAAGAACGTTTATAATCAATAATGTAACTAATTTAATATCTAAAATTAAGTGGTATGCATGGTGTAGTGTGAGTTGCACCTAAAAGTAGCTTGCAATTACATGCACATGTATATTATTCTACCACGATATTAACTATGAAAATATGAAGTGTACGTTCCAAAAATCAATTCAGTCAACTATATATATATATATGTATTAAGTAAATGTAAAGTATGTTCAACACTACATTGACTATGGAATTAAATCAAATCCTGAGACTGTGAAAACATCCTACAAAACAAACGATAGAATTTTGGTTAACTTGTTGCCAACTTTAATTTCTTCATATGGCATTTTACCAAATCTCTTAAGAATGTAGAAATTGATACTATTTTACATTTTTACTTCAAACTTTCTCCAAGGTGCATTGATTCCGATATATAGTTACCCATGACCATAGTGTGTGACTATTTTGGTACTAGCTATGTAAATTATTATGTTTATTATAATCTTATGTTTACTAGTAACTTGTAGCTAAGTTGATCATATATGTATTTTAGATGTTTGAGACAAATTACGTGCCCATATCTTTTCCATGAATACCTTTTGTCACTACAAGAAAAAAAGCAATCAGCGGCGACAAAAGTCGCCGGTAAAGATTAAATAAGTCGCTGGTAAAAGTAATAGCGGCGACATGTCGTCGGTAATGAAGTCGGCACTATTGCTCTGGCGCTATTGATCAAAATGTCGCTGGTAAAGAGAGTTGTCACCGCTAATGCTCTTGTGGTCCGCAATACTTTGCGTCGCCGCTACTGCCCATGTCACCTATAATAACATTTTAATTTTAAATTTTTTTTAATCAACGATTTTGGGAATAAAAAAACAGATATATTACGACATAAAATAAAGAAAACAATTACATAACAACATCCGATTAGATACCAAATGTTGTTTTAATAAATTTCTTACCAAAATAAACAACCAAAGTTTTATAATTCTAACAAGTAGCAAAGTGTGACGACAAGTCGAACATACAAGACACAAATTAACTATCCGACAAACCACCATCTCTATTCCCATCCTTTCCTCATTGATTATTCCCCAATTGAAAAAACACATAAAGTTCCTCCCTACATACCGGGTCGTTGAACATTGCCCAAAGATTTTCCAACTACATAATAAATAACAACATATACAAATTTATAAGTTAAATTATCAAACATAAACAAAAACTACTAAAGTACATTCCTATTTCTTGCACTTACATATAAGATATACCAAAAGTATATTGCTATTCTTGCACTTGGGACAAAAACACAATTACCAAATCAACATGCATTTTATGATTCCAAAGTATATTGTTATATTTAAACTAGAGACATAAAACCAAAGTACATTTTTATTTCTTGCACTTGGAACAAAAACCCAATTAACAAAGCTTTTAGCAAATAATCATCACAACCCAAAATTACCAAATCAACATGCATTTTATAATACCAAAGTAAATTGCTATTTTTAACGTAGAGACAAAAAACCAAAGTACATTGCTATTTCTTGCACTTGGGACAAATGCTCAATTAACAAAACTTTTATCAAATAATCGTCACAAAACCAAAATTATCAAATCAACATGCATTTTATGATAACAAAGTACATTGCTATTTTTAAACTAGGGACAAAAAACCAAAGTACATTGCTATTTCTTGCACTTGGGACAAAAGAACAATTAACAAAGTTTTTAGCAAATAATCACCACAAACCAAAATTACCAAATCAACATGCATTTTATGATGACAAAGTACATTGCTATTTTTAAAAAATGGACAAAAAACCAAAGTACAGTGTTATTTCTTGCACTTGGGACCAAAGCACAATTAACAAATCAACATGCATTTAGTGATACCAATAACCAAAGCTTTTAGAAAATAATCACCACAAACAAAAATTACCAAATCAACATGCATTTATTGAAATTAAATAATCTTGTTTTACCTTTGATGAATGTGATGGCTGTAGTGGTGGTTGAGATGGTTGTGAAATCGGCCTAATAGTAGAAGGTTTTTTGCCGATGCCTCTGATATGGTCATATCGTTCACCTAATACTTTCTCGAAAGCAGCTCTTTCTTGAGCAGGTGTTAACTCTCTTTCACTTTCTGGCATTTGCGTTTGTTCTAAGATCTCTTCCACTAACCGATTTTGTATTTCCTAAAAGTGATTAACAATTAAGTATAAATAAACACTTAATTATATGATAAAAGTATAATTAAATAATTACGTATTGTTGTTCTGCCTCGACAATAACAAGTAGATCATCCCTATCGGTATGAACCTTGCGAAACGTTTCCACTCTCTTAAGGTTCTGTTTAACATTAAAAATTAGATTATATTTAAAAAAAATACATGTATCATACGTTACCTTTTTATAGCAAGTACTGCTATACGAACTCGACCCCCACGATTCACGGTCGTTTTCATTTGATGGACTTTTTGTTCCTTTCTGAAGCAATTCTATGTTTGTCTGTTTGGAAATACCCAATTTTTTTATTCCAATTATCAACATCCATACCATCTAGAGGGTTGGCTAATGCTCTCAGGATATCCCAATACCCTCCGACTTCCATAAAATATTTTTTGCATCAGCTTACGCTCTCGATAACCTTTCAACAAAGCTACTTCAAAACTCTCTGTCAATAGATGAGCGTCTAGATCTCGGTACATCTGACCTAAATCAAACTTTGTCTAAATAAAAGTTAGTCAAGTAAAAACGAGTCATAATTAACCATATCAAATATTTTTATATAAATAATTTACCTCTAAATGTTGTATTACTATATCTTTTATTGCAGGGGAAACTATTTTTCAAGTCCATTTATCAAAAGGGACCATTTGCCACATTATTTTTCTAACTTCTCATGCAAATATGTCTTTTGGCTCTCCTACGGGATCATATGTCATATCCCTATTAGAATCCATGTTAATCGGTTTGCCCTTATTTTGTAAGAGCGCGTTTCAAGCTTAATATTTTTGGTTTTGCCTCGGACTTTCCTATGTTGCTTAACTACAAATATAATTAAAAACTATTAGAAATGATATTTAATTTATAATAGCTGAATAAAAATAGTAAATAAAAATTCATAATAAGATTTACGGTCCTGCTCATGATGACCAACACCTCTACCACCTATGAAAGGTGGGTCCTTAGCTCCATCACCCCCGTGTCCACAACCCATAACAACAGCCATGGTGTACACAAGCAAAATTCATATCGATATCATTTCTTGAAAAATTATGAGATATACAAATATAATTTTTTTTTATTACAAATACACATTATATAGAAATAAACATTTACATAGGAATAAACATTTCTATTTAAACTAGGAATCCAAATAAAGTTCATATTACAAATACGCATTACATAAGAACAATCTAATCAGAATGTTCATCATATCCTTTAGTGTTTTCTTCGATATCATAATTAGAATCGGTCTCATCGTAATCAGTTCCGCAATCAGAAATGTCGCAGTCTAAGGGTCACAGGAAAGTACCGTAAAACCTTATGAGATACTTTCTCACCCTTGGTGTTTTTTATCGATCTATCAGCTCTCTTTACAAATAGGACAAACTTGCAATGAGTCGTGTTCTTTCCAAAAGAGAAAACAATCATTTTTGCACACAAGTTACACCAGACCAATAGACTTCAGTTTCTTTTTTGCTGGATAATGTGAAAAGGGAACCT